CCATCCCAAAGCATTCTAGCTTTCTCCCAATACTAGAGAATTTAGAGAGTTATTGAGGGTTGTTTTTTCTTTTTTATCAAGAGAGAATTATCATTGTTTTCTCCTTGTTAAATAGAGAGAAATTGTAATTCCTATTTTATCATAGTGAAATTCTTCTACCGTTGCCCGTGGTTTTTACCCTATATTATTTAAGGGTTTTCCACGTAAATTTTGTATCTTTTTTATCTTCATTTTTATTTTCTCAAATTATCAGTTAGGATTTTACTCTATTCGATAGCCGTCTTCCGCAATAATTGGTATCAGAGCTAGATTAGAGTGTGTAATATCTATTTATTGTCTTTGTGATTGTCACCAAAAGGTGGATACTCCAACATAAGAAAGTAAGAAGGTATTACCCATTCTTTGAAGGTTCCCGAGAAATATTCACGATAGTGAAATAGTGGGAGTTATCCGTAATAGAAGTTATGTCAACGAAATTTGATATTGAAAAGTTCAATGAGAGAAATTTCTCATTGTGGAAATTGAAGATGGTGGTCATCCTGAGGAAAGACGGTTGTCTAACAGCTATCAGTGAAAGGCCAGTAGATTTCACATATGACAACAAATGTAACAAGATAGACGGAAATACTATGACAAATTTTCATCTAGTATTACCAGATGAGGTATTGTCAAGCATCGATGAGAAGAAGACAACTAAGGAGATATGAGATCATCTCACCAAATTGTACTAGGCCACATCGTTTGCACAATAAAAATTTTTCTTAAGAGAAAATTGTACACTCTCCGTATGCCATAATCTACTTCAATGACGGAGTACTTAAACACGATGAACACTTTATTTTCTCAGCTTACATCCTTAGGATGTAAAATAGGAGAACAAGAACATGCTGAACTTCTACTTCAAAGTCTACCTGATTCGTATGATCAACTCATCATCAACTTGACAAACAGTAATGTCACCAGTTTAGTCTTTGATGACGTTGCAGCTGCTGTTCTACAAGAAAAAAATCTGAGCAAGAACAAGGAAGACAAATAAGTAAATCTACAACAAGCAGAAGCGTTGACAACGATGAGAGGGAGATCAACAGAACGTGGCCAAAGCAGTAATTACAAATATGGTAGATCAAAGTCAAAAAGAAAAAAGAATTTAAAGTGTTACAACTATAAAAAGAAGGGTCACTTGAAGAAGGATTGTTGGAGTCTAAGTAAAAACTTCAATCCACAAGGCAATACCGCAAACACTTCAGATGATAGAGATGCTCTATGTTGCGAAGCGTCAACCACCGTGGAAGGCAGAAAAAGATTTGCAGATATATGGCTCATTGATTTCGGATCAACATATCACATGACCTCAAGAAGAGAATGGTTCCATCATTATGAACCTGTCTCAGGAGGATTTGTGTATAGTTGCAATGATCATGCCTTAGAGATCGTTGGCATGAGAACCATCAAATTGAAGATGTATGATGAAACAATTAAAGTTGTTCGAGATGTGTGACACTTGAAAGGCCTGAAGAAAAATTTATTATCCTACGGATTGTTGGATAATAATGCAAGCAAGATTGAAACACGGAAAGAAATCATGAAGGTGTTCCGTGGAGCGCTTGTGGCGATGAAAGGCGAAAAGATAACTGGAAACTTGTACATGCTGAAGGGAGAGACTTTGCTAGAAGCAGAAGCCTCTGTTGCCTCATGTAGTTCAGATTCTGCAATACTATGGTATCAGAAACTTGGACACATGTCAGAACAAGGAATGAAAGTCCTTGTGGAGCAAAAGCTACTTCCAGGCTTAACAAAGGTATCACTTACTTTGTGTGAGCATTGTATAACAAGTAAACAGTACCGGTTGAAATTCAACACGTCAAATTCTAGAGGCAAAAGTGTTCTAGAATTGGTTTACTCTGACATATGGCAAGCACCAGTTATATCCCTTGGCGGAGCAAAATATTTTGTCTCATTTATTAATGACTACTCCAGGAGATGTTGGGTGTACCCTATTAAGAAGAAGACAGAAGTGTTTTCCACTTTCAAAATCTTTAAAGCGCGGGTAGAACATGATTCTGGAAATAAGATCAAGTGTTTCAGAACAGATAATAGAGGAGAATACACAAGTGAAGAATTTGATGACTTTTGCAGAAAAGAAGGAATCAAAAGACAGTTCACGGTGGCGAACACTCCTCAACAAAATGGAGTGGCAGAGCGGATAAGCAGTCAATATCGCATGTTATTTGATGAATCAAGCTCCATCAACTGCAATAGAGCTGAAGACACCAATGGAGATGTGGACTGGTAAACCAGCTGATTATTCAAACCTCCATGTATTTGGAAGTATTGTGTACGTGATGTACAACTCCCAAGAAATTTCAAAGTTGGATCCAAAATCCAGGAAATATAAATTCTTGGGGTATGCTGATGGAGTAAATGGGTATCGCTTGTGGGATCTCACTGCCTGTAAAGTGATCATCAGCAGGGATGTTATCTTTGTAGAAGATAAACTACAAAGAAAAGAAGGCGATGATAGCGTTGAAAAGTCAGAGACTACACAGATACATGTGAAAAAAGAGTTTGAACAAGGAGATCATTCTGAAAGAGAACCAACACATGATGAATAAGAACCAGAGAGTTCTGAAGCCCCAACAACTCGTCAATTATATCGTGTGAGAAGACGTTCCAATTGGCACTCATATTATGTTATAGAATGAAATATTACATATTGCCTTTTAACAGAGGACAATGAGCCATCAACATACCAATAAGCAATAAACATCTCATATATTTCACTGTGGATGATGGCGATGTAAAAAGAAATTGAAGCCTTTCATAAAAATAATACATGAGACCTTGTGCCACTACCACAAGGAAGGAAGCCAATTGGTAACAAATGGGTTTTCAAAATCAAGGGAAACGGTGACGATCAAGTGGAGAGGTATCGTGCAAGACTGGTGGTCAAAGGTTATGCTAAAAAAGAAGGTACTGATTTCAATGAAATCTTTTCTCCCGTGGTTCGACTAACAACAGTTCGAGTAGTCTTGGCAATGCGTGCTACATTGAACTTACATCTAGAGCAGCTAGATGTTAAAACAACTTTTCTTCATGGAAATCTTGAAGAAGAGATTACATGCTCCAGCCTAAAGGTTTTGAAGAAGACGAAAAGAAGAACTTGGTTTGCAGGTTGAACAAATCTCTGTACGGTATAAAGCAGGCGCTGATGTGATGGTATAAGAGATTTGATTCATTCATTATGTGTATTGGATACAACATACTTAACACAGACCCTTGTGCTTATTTCAAGAGGTTTTATGATAACAAATTTGTTATATTGTTGTTGTATGTGGATGACATGTTGGTTGCAGGACCCAACAAAGATCATATTGAAGAATTAAAGGTACAACTAGCTAGGGAATTTGAAATGAAGGACTTGGGATCATCAAACAAGATTCTAGGGATGCAAATTCACCGAGACAGAAGTAATAGGAAGATTTGGCTTTCACAAAAGAATTACTTGAAGAAGATCTTGTCACGATTCAACATGCAAGATTGTAAGCCAATTTCTACCCCTATTCCTATTAACTTCAAATTATCCTCCAGATTGAGTCCTAGCAGTGAAGAAGAGAGGATGGAGATGTCTCGAGTACAATATGCATTAGCAGTGGGAAATTAAATGTTCGCTATGATATGCACAAGACCAGACATTGCACAAACAATAAGAGTGGTTAGTCGGTACATGGCGAATCCAGGCAAAGAGAATTGAAATACAGTAAAGAGGATCCTGAGATACATCAAAGGGACCTCAAATGTTGCATTATGTTACGGAGGATCAAACTTACTAATCAATGGGTATGTAGATTCTGACTATGCAAGGGATTTGGATAAAAGCAAATCTACTACAGGATATGTGTTCAAAGTTACTGGTGGAGTTATAAGCTGGGTTTCAAAATTACAGTCAGTTGTGGCTACATCCACAACAGAGACAGAATATGTAGCAACTACACAAGCCAGTAAAGAAGCAATTTGGTTGAAGATGCTATTGGAGGAGCTTGGGCACAATCAAGAGTATGTTTCTCTGTCTTGTGACAGTCAAAGTGCCTTGCATCTAGCAAGGAATCCAACATTTCATTAAAGGACAAAGCACATACGAGTTCAATACCATTTCATTCGTGAAAAGGTGGTAGATATGCAGAAGATCCATACCAAAGACAACATAGCAGATTTCATGACGAAGGCGATCAATGTTGATAAATTTACTTGGTGTCAATCCTCTTGTGGCCTGTCAGAGACATAAGCAACATGAAGGTACAAGGTAGAAAGAATGGTGTGAAGATATGATTGTTTCAATCAAATCTTCAATTGGGAGATTGTTGAAAAGTCAACAAATGGCAACTTGGCCACTTTGCTTGGAATTGCTTTTGTTGTATGCACCGGATGAATTAAAAAAAATTGGGGCACCGAAAGTTAGATTGGTTTTTAGTTGAATTTGGACAATGGTAAAATCACAATTTAGTTATTGCACTTTAGGGTATTTACAAGATTAGTCCTCAAGATTCAACTATAAATACTCTAACCCATTTAGCTTCAAAACCATCCCAAAGCATTTTAGCTTTCTCCCAATACTAGAGAATTTAGAGAGTTTCTTGAGAGTTGTTTTCTCTTTTTTATCAAGAGAGAATTATCATTGTTTTCTCCTTGTTAAATAGAGAGAAGTTGTAATTCCTATTTTATCATAGTGAAATTCTTCTACCGTTGCACGTGGTTTTTACCCTATATTATTTAGGGGTTTTCTACGTAAATTTTGTGTTTCTTTATCTTCATTTTTATTTTCTCAAATTATCAATTTCGATTTTGCTCTATCCAATAGTCGTCTTCCGCAACATGCTGTTGTTGTATGGAGGTCGCTAGGGAACAACTGGCCATCCCAGGGGTCTCGATGGTCATTTAAAGAATGGCTTAGATGGGTGTTTAATAATTACACATCAAAAAGGCATGGAGACATTCTAACTACAATGTGGGCAATCTGGTATGCCCGAAACAAACAGTACCATGAAGGAAATATCACTATGAGCAGAGAATTAACCACATTTATCCTTGCTCACTGCAAAGAATATTCGTTAGTGAATGCTCAAATCCAGACCCATCCGCCTCCAAATCAAACTGGATTGCTCCCACCAAATGCTTCATGGGTGAAGGTAAACTTTGATGCCAGCTTCTCTCATACAAACAAAAAAGCTTGGTCATGTATAATCATAAGAGACAGTATGGGAGAAATATTGGGGGCTGCAAAACGTAAAATCCAAACGGCTACCTCTGTTTTTGCAGCGGAGGCAACAACGACAGTCCATGCAATCCAATTCACAATTGACTTAGGATGTACGAGGGCTATCTTTGAAGGGGACTCTAAAACAATCATTCAGAAATTGCAATCAGATGAGGAAGACCTTTCGGAGGTGGGTGCAATGATCTGGGATGGCAAGTTTTTGGCCTCTAAGCTACATACAGCGACGTTTAACTTCACTCAAAAAGGAGAGAATAAAAGATAATGAAGACAGGTTTTGGATTGAGGAGGCCCCCACGAGTGATGATCCAGACATCGGAGGATAGACGATGGATAGATCCCCCCTAGACGAAGAAAGAAAAAGGGAAGCAAGTTTGAGGCTCTATTTTGGTTTTTTTCCTTTCCAGGTGCCCACTCAATGACAATATTTTGAATGGAAGAGGAACGGCTGGTTTATGGGTTAATGCTTTTACTTTTTATTTGTTATTCAATTTTAGGAATACAACTAGAGTGCATTTAGGAAAAGTTTATTCCTTTAGAAAGCAAGATAGCTTTTGTTTGTTTTTACCACTATTTTTAAAACCGAACCGGACCTTAAACCGGTGAAAATACTGATTCACTGGTTCAACCGTGGTTAAACCGTGATTGAACATATTTATATAAAATAAGATTTTTTTTAAAAAATTTACATAATATTCAAAGCAATATATATATATATATATACTTTTTTTAAGTTTACAATATTAAAAGATATAAAAATATCACAAGTTATAACATATATAAGTTAAATATCATAATATCAAGTGAAACAAAATGATTCAAATCAACTACAACATAATATTTAAGGTCAATACCTAATGAAATTTATTAACAACTAAATAAAAAAGTACATAATTGATACAAATACCAATCATAATAATATTCATTGAAATTGATTCCCTCAAATTCCAAAATATTGGGAAAAGTTTCTTCATTAGTTGAACTACCACCGCCATCACCACTTTGAACTTGAAACTCCATAACATCAATTTGAACTTGAAAGTCCACAGCATCAAGATCTTCATCACCTAACGGTTTGGTTTAATTTTTTTTTTAAATTTGGGGCTGAATCATAACAAACGACGTCGTTTAGTTTAATTTTAAAAAAACAGAACCGTGTGAACTGCTTGAACCGTCGGTTCACACCAGTTTTGCCGGTTCCCAACCGGTTCTACTGGTTCTTTAATTGTTCATTGCAAAATTGGTTTTGGAGGCTGATCGAACCGGACATGCAACTGGTTCCCGGTTCAACCGGTCGAACCGGACGATCTAATCCGATTTTGATAACATTGGTTTTTACCATTTCGTTTTTTAGTAGTGAATAAATAACCAGCCATTAGATAAAAAATATTTATTTATTTCTAAAAAATTTAAAATATATATTTTAAAATACTTATCATAATATTAAAAATATTTATAAATTTATTTTCTCCCAGCTTTAAACCAATAATGCATAAACTTCCCCCCCCCCCATTCTAACTTTTCCACGTGCGAAATTATCGAATAAAAATAAACAGATACATGAAAGAATCCGACAATTTTATATACAAAACAATACTAGTAAGATAACAATTTTATATGAGCTGGTCGGATAGTTACTTTATTTAGTTAATATTTTAATTTTAAATTGCTCCTTAACTATTAGTTTTTGTGGTTGATTTGTTCATTTTATTTCATTTTCTGTGCAGAACATTAGATTATGGAAATTACACTAAAAGAACAGAATTATACAGTATTTTTATTTTCGGAATCAAAATTGGATTAGTGGACATGACTCAGGCATGATGCATTTGAAGACGCGATGAGTCTGCACCTTCTAGAAGGTTCAATCAGCGCTTCTAGAAGGTATTTGTTTTTAGTATTTTAGTTTAAATAGTTTAAGTATTTTTATTAGGAATTATCTCTTTATTTTAGAAATTATATTTTCCTTATTTTTAAGATTTTAAAGACTATAAATATACTCTCAGGGTAATCCTAGAAACAATTCAGAAATGATTATTCTTCTTTCCTATAGTTTTATAAAAGTTTTCTTTTCTTTTTCAAAGTTTTACTTTGTTTTTATTTTTATTTTTTTAAAGATGCTAACTATGATTGTCATACTTAGCTAATTTTTCCATAGCCAAGGGTTGAAGCGATGACTCAATTCCTAGTGTGAGTATTAAAAAGCACTAAAATAACTTCAAGTTATATTCTCAATTTTCTGGAGGAACAAGATTGATAATCGACCTATCTTTTTTTAAAAAAATCAAAACGCTTTTGAATCAAATAGTCGATGTTGGTTCAGAAGTTGTTCTGATTTATAGTTGGAAGGAAGAATCGGCTGGTAGCATGTTCGGCTTCCTGTGAACACACTTAGCGACGATGTAACATCCCAAACTACGGGTTAGTGATCAAATTGTAAAATTTCAGAATTTGGTGATTAAAGTAGAATAGTTGAATAGTTCAATGATTTATGTGGAGATATTTCCTGAAAGTTGTTAGTAATTATTAAAAGAATTAAAGGGTAAAATGGTCATTTGACTTGGAAATTATAATAAAATGATATATATATAGGCATGTGGGGATAAGGATGATGATATTTTCTCCACTTCATCTTCTTCTTCATCATCATACGAGAGAAAGAGAGAGCCAAGCTTGCAAAGGTAAGTTTTCGAATTTGTTGATTATTTGTTGATTTAAAGCTTGGGTTTTGATCATTAGATGATAACTAAGCTTAAGGAAAGCTTAAGTCATCTTAAAATCAAAAGATGAAGAAGTTATGAAAGATTAAAGAAAATGGGTTTTTAAGTGAATTTTTGGAAAATAGATGATAAGTTGAATTTGAAACTAAATTTGACTTGTCATCAACTTAATTAAGAGATATGAAGTGATAGAATTGGATTTAGAGCATCTTGAAAATTTGGTATGATTATTGATTTCCATATGAAAGATCGAATTTTGAGGTTAAAGATGAGATAAATTGATATAAATGTGTTTAAGCATGTGTATGTGAGTTGAGGATAGGAAAGGGGTTGAAATATGACACAATTAAATTAGAAGGAAGTAATTTACGTGCATAAATGGAAATTCTGGGTAGGTGCATCGATGCACTATGAGTGTGTACCGATGCACTAAGACAATTTTTGAATGTGCATCGATGCATTAAGGGGTGCATCGATGCATGGGACTTTCGAAGCTATTCTGTGTATCGATGCACTAAGCTATTCTGTGTATCGATGCACCCATAGTGCATCGATACACCCCTAAAGGAAAGCTGAATTTTTGGGTTCATTAAATTAGCTCAAGTTATTAGTATTGAATTATAATGTTTAGGCTTCTGAAATTCATCTCGGAAATTATGTTTATGTAGATATTGAGCCTAAACAAATTCTGGAAGAATCAAAGAATTAGGATCGAATCAAAGCAAGGCTAAGGTGAGTGCAATTTGATTGTACTTATGCGATCGAAAAACATTGGCTTGCGATGAGCCAGTGACGGAGTTACTATGGTAAGAAGTGTAACCCCCCAGACCGATGTGGGTAGCCTGAACCGATCCGGGAAGTCACATTAGGGCCACCGGAGCGACCCACTGTAAAAATAGCGGAAAATTTAAAACTTTTATTGAAACGTGTAACTTATAAAATCAGTTATCACTATTTAAAAATAAAACAGATTTCCAAACTCGTATATAAATCAAAATATAATTACATGCCCCCTAATCACATGTACCATACACTGAAACCACACCGGAAGAACTCCCTTACTGAAGTCGATAGATGCACTGGTACAATTCTTTTAACCTGAAAAGGTGAGTAATAGAGTGAGCTTCGAAAAGCTCAGTAATACAGAACTACCAGATGATGCTGATGAACGTGCATATACAGATAAATATATATTTCCTTATTGCTTCTTAGCATTTACATATTTTTATGCTGAGCAGAGATTCTACTGATATTTCGGGTGGTAACGGACAATGAGCTTTCAGTTCAGAGAAATATTTCGGATGACTGAGTTGAGGAGATCATAATAGGTTTTCTAGTGTGTTCCCAAAAACCATGTAACTTTTCAGATCTTTTTAAAACATATATATATATACCCCCATCCCATCACAACATAATGTGTAGGTTCCCCAGAACCATACACCCAACCCAACACAACATATAAGGCCCTGAGCACAAAGCCGAGGTACCTGCGGAAATTCTTCCTTCAACAATACCCCTCAATTAAAACATTTTTCTGTCATTAAACGAATATATCAGAAATCAAAACAGAATTCAGAACAGATATCAGAAAAGAATCCAGATCAGAAATCAGAACAGAATTCCGGTCATTTATCAGAACAGAATTCAAGTCGGAAATCAGATAAAATATTTATATGATTAGGGAACACACCAGAGTTTACAGATATTATTCAGAGATGCTAAATAATCTTAGCAGACAGAGAAACATGGATTTTCAGTATACCGATAAAATACCGGACGCTAGAAATACTATTGGAAAAGTTCAATAACTGACAGAATCATCAGTTATTCAGAATGTGAATTATCAGTATCATATCTTATTTGGACAGTTTTCAGAAGTTGTACGTAATCAGAAGGGTATTCAGAATCCTTTACATCCATGTCAATTGATCAGAAAATAGAACAATCTTGAGAACGAAGATTCAGAATCTTAATAATCTATGTCGACTGGTCAATTCATTTTCCTTTCAGGGTATTTACTCGTTAATACCACAAATTCTTGTCCATAGATCATCTTCAGAATCATCGCTGAATAGATCTTCCAATGATCTTTATTTCGTTTCCAAGCTTCCACGATATCATGACATACTGACATGCTTGATTTGTAGTTCATGTTCCATAAGGACATTACATCTTATAAACTCATCAGAATTTCCAGACTTATCCAATCCACTTACTTAATCCTCAGTCGTTGAGGTTACCTAGTTTATTTAACAATCATATCCATTCCAGTTACTTCGGGATTTTTCAGAGTAATTCAAACGTTCCTAAATTTCAGACACATATTGCACTTCCGTTCCATTCAATTTGGTCTTCGTGGTTGATTTGTCGAACAAACGTCCAATTCCTAGTACTGAATACGATCTAGATCTAAGCTGAACTGAATACTTCCAAAATTTGTCATCGAGCCAAACTTGAGAAGACGAACACATGTTCCAGTAATATCTATGCCATTCAGGTATTGACATAGCTTTAGGGTTGATATATTCACTTAAATTGTGTTCCA